TTATCGTAAGAACAGATGAATGCAGTAGTTGGCACTAGACTGAGATAGAAATATAAAAAGATCTGAAGAGTCATAGAGATAGATAGAAGGGTTACAAACGAGAGGGAGGTATAAAGTCACTGAGACAGATAAATAGATCTATAGATATGAATATATATATATATATATTTATATATATATATATATATATATATATATATATATATATAGAGAGAGAGAGAGAGAGAGAGGAAGAGAGCGAGAGGAAGAAAAGAGAGAGGAGAGAGAGAAAGATATATATATATATATATATATATATACAGATCTGAAGAGATGTAGATAGATAGATAGATAGATAGATAGATAGATAGATCTGAAGATATATATATATATATAAAATGCAGATCAAATATATATCCGCATCCGACAGGATTTACAAATAGGTAACGCTTATCAATCTAACATGTTTCAGTTTTATTAAAGCTTCGTCAGAGATTGAGAGAAAGATAGATAAAAAGACAGAAATCCTTCCTAGATAGCGACACAAAACTGTTCAACAAAAGTTAGGAAAATATTAAAAAAATTAAACAAATCTTTAACCAGATTAATAGAATACCATCCAACCAAACCCACACTATATAGCTTAGCCAAAATACACAAACTCGACATACTAATTCGATTCATTGTGTCCGGTATCAATAGCACACCTCATAAATTCACTGGAACCATTGCAAAAGATCTAACTCCGTTCCTAGGAACCATTATCTCAACACATATCAAACACTCTGGTGACTTAATCCACAAAATACGAACCGTAAATATGGAACACATGGCCATGGCGAGCCTTTTCATCAACTCATTACACATTAACATACCCTTCACTATATGCATGAAGATATTGAGAAACCACCTAAACAAGTCCAAAGAAAAGCTTCCTCTACCCGTCCGCAAAATTATAAAAAATACTCAAACTAATCACTGCTTTTTCTACTTCAACAATATTTTCCACAAGCAAACATTCGGCTTACCTATGGGATCACCTATAAGTGATGTTCTCGCTTTCTTTTTCCTAGAATTCTTAGAATCTGGTTCATTTTGGCACATCATACCAAACAGCTCTATTTATCTAAGATATATAGATGACGTCCCTTTAATATATCCTCAAGATACAAACCTATTAGACAAAATAATAATACACAATAAAGATGGAGCTACCATTGAATCCACACACAAATTTGAAATAAACTATTTTCTATCTTTCCTCGAGATGTTATTAATACGCAACCATAAGAAATTAGATTTTAAAGTATATCGTAAATCCCCAAACAAAATTATCTAATCAACTTCTATTTCCCCCACAACCACAAAATAAGCTCTTGTCTAATCATAGGATTATGCCTTAAAGCGCTTAGGATATGTAGCCCGTATTAGCTAAATGAAGAAGAGGGATATAAAAAAAACTTTCAAACTTATCCACAACCAAAATCATTTTATCATCAACTTAGTCATGCCTAATAACAAGACAGTTGCCACCACCTCCAGGACTAACGGAGATATAATTAGGAAGAAAAATATACCAACACTGATTCAAATGTCGGGATTTATCAAATAAATTGTTTACAATGTAAAATGATTATATGGGGGAGACATCACGTGATCTAAAAGCCCGCAACTACGAACACAAGAGAGACTTGCGTTTGGATATACGATCTAACTCTTTAGTCTTGCATCGAAGCGATGCTGGACATAACTTTGATTTTACTAATGTCACCCTCATTAAAAAAATAGAACACAATTCTTTAAGGAATACTTTGAAAACTTGATAATACAATTATTGCCAATTATATACACAGGCCTAAAACATTACATTACATCGCCATCTTTCTTTGAATCCATTCAAAAATAATCTAACTTATATGTATCAAATACCAAGAATACATTCTTAGAGTTCCGGGTCATAAACTAGAATTCTGCGACTAGCCGCTGCGCAGGATGACTGCGCAATGGTGAAGATAAAAAACCCAACTAGACAGACACACCCAGACATTTACAAATACTTATCATCATCCATTGCCCACTTTATACATACAAGAATCTTCACAAACCTACATACACATAGAATTATCCACGGTTCTAATACACTTGACAGGTGTCTGACCAATGAGAAGTGACCCAAATATAATTGAAAATATGAGTGATTTGTCTTTTCTCTCTGAGGAAACATTAATAAAAGTTAAGCACGTTAGATTGATATACGTTACCTATTTGTTCTTTTATTTTATCATTCCATATATATATATATATATATATATATATATATATATATATATGTCATTCACAGACAGTACTGTTTTGCTGTATCACAGCTCTTCAGTGCGACTAGACGTCCGAATGCCTCAAGCCCGAATTGAAAGTCAAAACTGATTTGGTGTCAGTCAGTGTCTCTACCACTGAGCTATCTTCACTCGTCAGAATGCGTAGGCCAAATCTACCGTATTGTTCTTACAAATGTAAACAAACGCCAAGCAGCCATAGTGCTCCATTCATTTTACTGAAGAGCTTCGCATTTACGCAGCTGACCGTTGATTTTAGAATTAATTTGTCATTCAGCAGTGTTCAATTAAAAATATATTTTCAAGAGCTATGAAAATCAGAGATAGAAAGAAAGAAAGAAAGAAAGAAATCAATACAGATAGATAGACAGATATATAGATATCGATACGGTATCGATAGGTAAAGACGAGAGTACGGGTTTCTACACAGGAAATATTAGGCATTCATTATCTGAACAGTGAAAGTTACTGTCGATTGAAATTTATCAAATATTTTTCTTAAAACTGTAGTTCCGCAGAATAGACTTCTAAAGATCACTAAATGTTATAGCATTTCTAATACTGGTGGGGAATGCCTTCCTAAACTGAGCTAGCTAGCTAGCTAGCTAGCTAGATAGAGAGAGAGAGAGAGATAAATAGGGAGAGAGAGAAAGAGTGAAAGAGAGAGAAAGAAAGATAGAGTGAGAGAAAGAAAGATAGATAGATAGATAGATAGAGAGAAATAGAGAGAGAGAAAAATAAAGAGAGAGAGAAAGAGTGAAAGAGAAATAGAGAGTGAGAAAGAGAGAGAAAGGGAGATAGAGTGAGAGAAAGATAGATAGATAGATAGATAGATAGATAGATAGATAGAAAGAAAAAGAGAGAGAGGGAAAGCGTGAAAGAGAAATAGAGAGTGAGAAAGAGAGAGAAAGAGAGTTAGAGTGAGAAAGACACGGAAAGAAAAAGAGAGAGAGAGACAGAGAGAGAGAGAGTAAGAGAGAGAGAATGAAATAAAGAAAGAAATGAGTATTAGGATATTAGATCATTATTGCCACTGACCAAAAATAAACACTGATTTCATATGCGTCGTTTAAATTCAGTTCCATGTCGAGATTTTCACTTTGGTTTTGTGTTCCAAAGTATTTTCACGTGTCCAAAGCTAAATCGGAATAATTCATTTCAGTTGAAATTGCATAATATTCTTAAAAAAATTCTTCTTCATCTTTAGAATAATTGTCTCGGTTGAGTGTAAGAAGGGAAGAAATTGTTGGTGATTAAAGTCGGCCATTGGCAATGCTTTTCTGAGGACGATATATATATATATATATATATATATATATATATATGTGTGTGTAAAAAAAAAAACTTTTCTCGAAGAAAACAAACTACAAAATCTCCATCGTTATTTATAAGGCTGAGGTTCATCGTATGTGATAAATGTGATCCTGTCACCTTGAGTCAAAACGGAAGTCAAAGTGACATCTCATTCATTTCAAACGTAACCCTACGCGAGGAACAAATATTGCGCCTAACTGTAAAACTAGTGGAGGCTATTTGGGTGAGTTTTATACCGGTCACATTTTGTCACATCTCTCCCCCCACCTCTCTCTTTATTACTGTCTCTTGACTATCTATCTATCTATCTATCTATTTATCTATCTATCTATCTATCTATCTATCTATCTATCTATCTATCTATCACAGTCTCTTGATTATCTATCTATCTATCTATCTGAGAAATAAATAGAAAACTTTCATGATGCGAAAGAACAATAAAAATTCCAAGAAGATATAAGATGACGTCTGACATTGCCTTTAGCATTTTTATGAGCAGAACGCTGGATTACTATGTAATATCACTCTTCCTATATGGCAATGAATGTTGGGCAATCTCCTCGTAAATGAAAAATAAAATTGAGACAACAGAAATACGGTTCTACAGAAGGACACTGAGAATGTCATGGACTGAACATGGGATCAACGACGAGAAGAGAAAATGGAAAAGTCTTACAGCAATATCACGAAAACATCGGTTCCAGTACGATCAGCGAAGTTAAGCAATGTTGATCTTGGTCAGTATCTCGATGGGTGACTGCTTGGCAACATAAAGTGCTGTAAGGTTTGATGTGCTCGTTGTGTAATGGATAACGAGTCAGAATTGTTATTCAGAGAGCCGGGTTCGTTATATTCAATGACACGCAAATATCATTGGGAAAAGTATGAATCCGCTTCTTGTTCTCCCATCTATGGGTTAATTAGTAAGTATCACTAAATCATTAATATCTCCAAAAATGTACTTACAATCTAAAAATATTGCCTGGCTTTAAATAACCTGCAAGAGGTTGATAAGCCGTAAAAGATAAAATGTCAAATGGAGCCAAAAAGGACACATACTTAGAATTAGAAAGTGATCACTGAAATCTCTAAGCTACGTAATGAGGAAAGAGGGATTAGAAAAAATAACATTCACAGGACCTGCTGAATGGACGAGGAACAGTGGAAATTAGTGGATAATCTACCTAGCGAGCTTTTATAAATGTTTGTCAGAACAAGGATTTAAGAGAGATAAACATTGCTAAGCGCTACATAGAACAGGAAGTTGTGGAAAACCATATTCTCCCACGACCTGAAGAGATACCGCACATAGAAGATAGAAAATCAGGAAGATTGATGGGACTTGACTTACAATGGAACTTAACTCAATGAAACTTACACATACACTTAGCAAATTCCAACAGTTAAAACTATGACATCTAACTACTAATCTAATAGTACGTTTAAATTATTAGTAATTATTAGTAGTAGTAGACATTTTTTTTCTTGGACGATTTCGTAGATTCTCACTTTTTGGCTTACAAATTATTATTACAGAATAACGTAGACGACTGATGAACGTTGGAGAGTACTTCAACTGAACCATTTCGGCCAGGGAAAGAGGTCACTGGTTCTCGTTGGATTATCTTATTTAAGCAATATTCAGTCCGGTCAGTAATTTGAAGGGGACCGCCTGGCAACACCGGGTACTGTAAGCGACCTTCTATAATCCGGAATAAGTTTCGGTTTTAAATAATCCGCACAGGGTTGGTAAGCCATAAAAAATTTGAATCAACCGGAGAAAGATATGAACATACTAATGCTTGTTGGATTACCGCCTCCTGCTGATACGGATTTTGAATTATAAACCTGACGATAATTACAGGCTGCACGAGTTCTGAAAGACTCTCTATTTCTCGGTGACTTTTCATAGCGAAAAACTATTCTTTTCATTCCCGCCAATATGTAAGTACTCAACTACAGACTACAAGTTTGCTTTGAACGCTTCACATTTAAATTCATTTGTCCTTTTTCTTTGTTTAAAATGCATTATCAATATAATTCTATATCTCATTTTTCCTTTCGGACATACACCAGTCCGCCAAAAATCTTTTACGTATCAGGAATATAAAAAAAAAATCTCTTCAAGTGTTGAAGCCAGCAACACGCTCTTAATGTGTGGAATATTAAACATTCCATTTTAAATCATTCATATCTCGCACTCTGTTAATATTTCTGTATTTTCTTTTCTTTTTTATTCTTTCTTTCCTTTTTCATTCTTTCTTTCTTTTTTATTCTTTCTTTCCTTTTTCTTTCTTTCTTTTTTATTCTTTCTTTCTTTTTTCATTCTTTCTTTCCTTTTTCTTTCTTTCTATTTTTATTCTTTCTTTCCTTTTTCATTCTTTCTTTCTTTTTTGTTCTTTCTTTTTTCATTCTTTCTTTCCTTTTTCATTCTTTCTTTCCTTTTTCATTCTTTCTTTATTTTCCATTCTTTCTGTTTTCATTCTTTCTTTTTTCTTTCATTCTCTTTCATTCTTTCTTTCCTTTTTCATTCTTTCTTTTTTCATTCTTTCTTTTTTCATTCTTTCTTTCCTTTTTCATTCTTTCTTTCTTTTTTATTCTTTCTTTCTTTTTTCATTCTTTCTTTCCTTTTTCATTCTTTCTTTCTTTTTTATTCTTTCTTTCTTTTTCATTCTTTCTGTTTTCATTCTTACTTTTTTTCTTTCATTCTTTTTCATTCTTTCTTTCCTTTTTCATTCTTTCTTTTTTCATTCTTTCTTTTTTCATTCTTTCTTTTTTCATTCTTTCTTTTTTCATTCTTTCTTTCCTTTTTCATTCATTCTTTTTTCATTCTTTCTTTTTTCATTCTTTCTTTTTTCATTCTTTCTTTCCTTTTTCATTCTTTCTTTTTTATTCTTTCTTTCTTTTTTCATTCTTTCTTTCCTTTTTCATTCTTTCTGTTGTCATTCTATCTATCCTTTTACATTCTTTCTTTCTTTTTTCATTCTTTCTTTCCTTTTTCATTCTTTCTTTCTTTTTTCATTCTTTCTTTATTTTCCATTCTTTCTGTTTTCATTCTTTCTTTTTTCTTTCATTCTCTTTCATTCTTTCTTTCTTTTTTCATTCTTTCTATCCTTTTTTATTCTTTCTTTCCTTTTTTCATTCTTTCTTTCTTTTTTTATTCTTTCTTTCTTTTTTCATTCTCCATTCATTGTCTGCATTTCTCGTTCAGTTAATGTTATTTGTTTGGACGAATTTCTTCCTTCTTTTCGTTCTTCCATTTCTTTTATCTTCCTTTGATTTAGTTTATTCGTTCTTATTTTCTATTTTGCGACAATATTATTATGTCATTTCGCCCACGCCAATCAAAGACTTAACTGTTTGTATTGACCTGAGAGTAGCAAAAAAAAAAAACATCATACAGAATGTCGATTCCGGTTTCGCGTTGTGTTCAATGCAAATAAACCTCTTTTCCTTTTCGAAACACAAAACTCTGACCCATAATGACAAAAGAACTCTTAAAGATCAAGATGCTGCTCTCGCAGTTAAAACAACCCATTTGTCGTATTTTACTGCGTAAAGCTAAACAAAATGCCTACCGTTTAAAGCCGCCATAAAGTAGGAATGTATTATCTTCCTGGGACTACTCAACCTCTTTTGTTTAACTGACAACCGATGTCTTTCTTGGTACTAACTTATTTGTCAAACAAAAATCGGCGGTTTTAGTATTAGTCGCTACTCACGATTTATTTTTTGGGGGGGACTACTAATTTTCTTAATGTCATGTCACTTGAAAAATATACAGTAATGGCCCTCCACAGTTTGCTTTTCTTTATTTTCTATCAATTGCCGTAATATCTTGAGAAAGCTAATATAGTGATTTCTCGGTAACAAATTCTTTCTCTTTTCCTTCCTTCCTTCCTTCCTTTTTTCCTTCCTTCCTTCCTTCCTTAATTCCATTCTATCTATCTATCTATCTATCTATCTATCTATCTATCTATCTATTAATATTTTTATATCTATTATCTATAGCAAAATCTTTCACTGTTCCTTCCTTCCTTCCTTCCTTTCCATCTATCTATCTATCTATCTATCTATCTATCTATCTATCTATCTATCTATCTATCTATCTATCTATTAATATTTTTATAACTTCATTATCTATATAACAAATTCTTTCCCTCCTCCTTCCTTCCTTCCTTCCTTCCTTCCTATCTATTTATCTATCTATCTATCTATCTATCTATCTGTTAATTTTTTTATGTCATCTTTCATCTATATAATAAATTCTTTCTTTCTTTCTTTTTCTTTATTTCTTTCTTTCTTTCTTTCTTTCTTTCTTTCTCACATTCCTATCTATCTCTCTATCTATACAGTGCTGTGCAAGAGTAAGTGAACCCCGAAGGTAATTTTAAAAAAATGTCCTTTTTTCCAATATAATCAAATATTAATGAAACTATATATTCATTTAAAGAACCTTTATTAATGTTATGACTTTCAAAATTCTTTATCAAGCGAGAATAAAAATATTTATTAAAAATTAAATATTAAGATATGTGAAATTAAGTGAACCTTTATATTTACACACTGTACTTTTGTTTTACTTGGTTGCCAGTACAAATAATATTGTGTACCTGTAAAAATCAAAATGATAGGTGTTCATTTTTGTTTTGGTAAGCAGTGTATACTGCAGTCAACCAGTATAACTCAATGTGTATGTAAAATGGTGCAGTTAGAGACTAACTTTAATAAATATGCCAAGATACTTGATGCCTATAATGTTGGAGAAGGTTACAAAAAACTGTCAAAACGATTTGGAATGCATGGTTCTGAAATGTGACAAATTATACAAAAATGGAAGCCATTTTGGTATGACGTCATCGCCCGTCCTGAATATGACGATATACTACATCCGCGTCCTGGGTAAGACGATAAACTACGTCCAACAGCAAGACCTGTGATCAGGAGGTTTTGAGGAGCGTAGGACCTCCTCTTAATTGCTGGTGTTCCCAGGTCCACCCTGACTCGGGGTGGTAGCATCTGTTAGGGTCCCAGTTATGGGCAAATAGTTAATCCCGAAACTCGGGTCAAAACACTATGAAAGTGTAAAAATAGGTTTTCAATACCAGAAATACTTTGTAAAAAAATTATTACCAGCAATACATTTTTGAAAGACAAATATTACCAGTAATACATTTTTGAAAGACAAATATTACCAGCAATACAGTTTTGAAAGACAAATATTACCAGCAGTACATTTTTGAAAGACAAATGTTACCAGCAATACATTTTTGAAAGATAAATATAACCAGCAATACATTTTTTGATAAAAATATTACCAGCGAAGGAAAATTCTTACCAGAAATAGATTTTTGGAAAAAAATATTAATAACAATGAAAATTTTGTCGGCATTAAATAACCCATTGAGGTTGATATACCGTAAAACAAAACAAACAATGACGTCATCGCAATCAAGAAATGATCATCCATTAAAAAATAACTGCAAGAACAAGTAATCATCTAGTTTTGTAAGCTCAGGCGGATCCTGCTATGATATCTGCGGTTCTTCAAGACTCTCTGGCCAATGTCGGAATCAATGTGAATACGTCTACAATGCAACGAAATCTGAAAGATGCCAGTCTTCATGGCCGGACTGCCTACAAAAAAACACTGCTTACGAAAAAGTACAAATAAACTCAGTTCGACTTTGTCAAAACTCATAAGCTAGAAAATTCTGATAAAAGGTTTTAAGGTCGGATGAAATAAAAGTAGAGATTTGGGATGAAAGGTAGGCTGTATACCTGCGGAGTTTCTAATACGGCTTTTGAAGAGAAGAATTAATTAAACATGGCGGTGACAGCATTATGATTTAAGAGTACTTTGCTGCAGCTAGTACAGGTAAAATAGTACTCATTGATGGCACAATGGACCCTGCCAGATACCAAGCAATTTTGAATGAAAGTGTCTTGCCCTCGTTTCGATAGTTGAGTTAAGTCGAGGCTGGGTCTTCCAAATGGACAATGATCTAAGGCATGAAAGCAAATGAACAAAAGACTGGGTTCAAATAAAGACATTTCACGTCTTGGGATTGATTAGTCAAAGTCGTCTAAACCCAGTTGAAAACATGTAGTTCAAGACAGTACATGTTAATATCCCAAGTAATATCGAGAAATTATGGGAGATTTGCCAAGAAGAATGGTCGAAAATTGACGTTTCCTAGTGCCAGAAACTCCTTTATCTATATAACATTTTCCCTCCTTTTTGCTTTTTTGTCCGTTTGTTTGCCTTTCCTTCTATCTATCTATCTATCTATCTATCTATCTATCTATCTATCTATCTATCTATCTATCTATCTATCTCTTTTTATGTTCTTCCTTCTACATAATTAAGTCCTCCTTTCTCTCTCTATGCTTATTTTCTTTTACTTTTCTTTGTTTCTTTGTTTGTTTTTTTGTTTCTTTTTTGCTAGTGTCCTCATTCCTTTTCTTTATACTTTTTATCTATTTGTATAATGAAGAATATGTAGGTGGACAAATTTATATATATCTATATCTATATCTATATCTATATATATATATATATATATATATATACATAAATATATATATATATATATATATATATATATATATATATATATATATATATATATACATATATATATATATATATATATATATTGGGAAAATATAATAAATTGATATAGACTGAGATAGTCAAACCAATGCATATAGGTACATATGTATGCATAGCTTCACTTTGTTTTCTCTTCGATAACTGAATAAGTAAGTTTCTTCTTGCGAAATGAGTATTTATAGAAGCGAGTTTAGAAAAAAAATTTTTTTTTCCTTTTCCCGTGAATAATTCAGAAATAAAGGAGGCAATAAGAAGAACGTAAATTAAGACTAAACGCGCATGCGCACACATGTGCTCTGAATGCGAACAAGATGGCGAGAAGAAGAAAGGGAGATAAATCGATGTAGAAATGCTTCTGTAGAAGCAATAAACACAATGACGAATCATGTTTACTTAAGAGGAAGAAAATGACAATAAAAACCCTCAACAACAACAACATTAAAACATTTCCAAAGTACGTCTTTGTTGACTCATTGTAAGCAGTTAATAACGTTTATATATTGAATATTTTATGTCGCCATTTGTACATTATTCAAGGTCTTTTTATGCACCGCATAACACGTTTTATTTCTTTAAATACTGAATACCCTTTAACATTTATCGCCTAATACGTTCTCGACGTGTACGGAGAAAAGTGATCTGTCCTTCTACTTTCTAATTAGTGAACGCTTAAAAAGCACTGAACGTCCTCACTGCTTTCCGTCTTCTTAAATGACTCTCGTTTCTCTTGGCTGAATAATTGGCTCATCACTGAGCTATAATTGCATAGCTTAACATGGAAAGATTCATTGTTGACAAAAAACAGAGAGAGGTGTATTTGAATAAACCGAAAAATAATTAATCATTTTGGGCAGGAAATTACCGCGCATTTTCGCAATTTAGCAACGAACGCGGAATAATTGCTATGTTTTTATTTATTGTATGGAATAATAGTGACTTGCCGAAGTTAAATACATTTGATGACAAACAGATTTCTCCGATATACTGTCATGCATTATTTTGTTTTAAGTTTTATAAATCATGGGCGAGGAAAAAAAAAATTCAAAATTTAAATGTTTCTCATGGAAATTTTCATCATTGTCGTCCTTCTGCCTCGAGCGAAAACGTGAGTTACGCCGTGGGTCCATTTATCTGTCGTTGGCGTCTGCAGGTCTTCTTCGCCTTTCATCGATCTTTCGCCCAGCTGCATGCTCTTCCTGACGGCTGCCTCTATCTTCCCCGATCTCCAGCAAAGGCTTTCTGACCAGGTGGATCAATGCCACTTGCCTTCATGTCGCGCTAACACACATCTTCGTAGCGAAATAGTGGTCTTCCTGCACGTCTGGAACCAGAAACCAATTCGCTGTAGAGTATATCCTTTGGGATGTGACTGTCTTCGACGCGGCTGACATGGCAGTGCTAGCGCAGGCGCCATTTTTCGTGCAAATATTACCAAAATATCAGCATAAAAGAACGTTCAAACTTTCCAAGATGCTGCATTGAATTTTAATCTTCCTTCAGTACAAGCTAGAACGGAATTCAAGCAGCAAATATAACAATAGCTGAGGGTTTTAAACTTGTCAGCGGCTAAAGCTCTAACATACGCGTTGAAAAAGCAATAAGCAATTTGTAGAAGGCTAACATAATCCGATTTTTTTCACGTGATTCCGAGATTTCGTTGCTTGCATTTATCAGTTTAAACAGTGCCCCGATTAAGAAGACTCATCGCAAGACACATGCAAAATAATAATATAAACAATATCTGTCTATATTTCTGACATGACGTATTATGTACACTGTTTACATTATTCGGACTATTGTCCTCATCTTTGTCGCCATATTTATTACAAAGTTTCGACCGTTGTACACTCCGGCCTTCTTCAGGTGGTTGGAATGTCGATCTGAACTCTTTATTTCGCTCACTGGGGTAGACTGTTCTAGTTCCACTTGCCATGTCTAATGGATGTCAGTTATCAGTTATCTCCTGTTAATTTCCCTCTGAAAGTTCTCCACTGACACATTTATCAAAACGTTTCGGCCGTTGTAAGCCCCAGCCTTCTTCAGGAATGCAACGCCTTCTTCAGGAATGCAACGACACATATCACAGTGGATAAAGGTGTTGGTTAGATCTAGTGACAGAACCCAAAGAGTTGTGAGTTCAATACCTGCTTAAGGCAGTGGAGAGCTTGTAGATGGGAATTAACAGGAGATAACAGATAACTGACATTCATTAGACATGGCACGTGGAAGTAGAACAGTCTACCAAAGCTAGCGAAATAAAGGGTTTAGGGATATGTGAATATATTTATTTATTTATTTTTTTTTACACGCCCAAATGTTTGAAATGTTACTTATTTAGATTTTAAATTTTAATTTATATATATATATATATATATATATATATATATATATATATATATATATATATATATATATATATATGAGTGTGTGTGTATATATGTGTAAATATGTATATATGTATGTATGGAGGTGTTTATGTATGTATGTGTATACGTGTATATATATATATATATATATGTATGTATGTATGTGTATGTGTGTGTATATGTATGTGTGTGTATATGTGCACATATATATATGTATGTGTATGTGTATGTGTGTGTATATATATATATGTATGTATGTGTATGTGTGAATATATCTATATGTGTGTGTACTTAGCTGTGTGTGTATGTGTGTATATATGTGTACATATGTAGGGGTGTGTATATAGGTATATGTATGTGTATGTATGGATGTACATGTATGTGTATATATGTATATTTATGTATACGTATATGGATGTATGTATTGGTAGATGTATGGATATATATGTAGATGGATGTATATGTAGATGTGTGTATATATGTGTGTATATGTTTTCGTATGTATGTACTCATATATATTTGTATATGGGTGTATATGTACGTATATATATGTGTATATATAGTTAGACGGATAGATATAGGGATACATTGTCTATTTGTTTAAATGGGTGTATATAATTGTATAGAATTGTAAGGTTTTAGGTATATATGTTTATGTGCACGTATGCTTATGTCCGTATGTATATATGTAAGTAAATGTGTATATATATGAATAACTGGATGCGGATGGATGTATCATTGTATATATGCATGTATGTGTGTGTATGTATTTTTGTATATTTTTGTTTTATATATATATATATATATATATATATATATATATATGTATGTGTGTATTATGTATATATGTATATGTGTGTGTATGTGTGTATATATAAGGGTGTGTGTATATATATATGTATATGTGTGTATATGTATATATATGTATATATATGTATGTATGTGTGTGTGTATGGATGTGTATGTGTGCATACACACATATACATGCATGTGTATGCGTATGTGTGTGTGTATATATATATGTATATATATATATATATATATATATATATATATATATAGGTATATGCATGTGTGCATGTGTATGTATGTATATGTATGTGAAAAGTGTGTGTATATGGATATAGATGAATATGTGTATGTGTGGATATGTGAATATATTTTTATATTTTTATATGTGTGTACATGGGTATATGTATGTGTGTATGTGGGTACACGCCTATGTGTATGTATATACGTGTATATGTTATTGTGTATGTGTATATTCGCATGTATTTTTGAACATAGAAATATAGGTCCTTGCTGGATTAGATAATCGTTATATTTATCTTTATATATTTATATTTGATTTGTAACCTGTAGTCGATATTAAATTTGTCAAATTTTCTCAATTACAAAGCGGCCCTTTAAGTAAACGCAATTTTACTTTCCTTCGCCCCATCTCTCTCCACCACCTCGTCTTTCCCTCCCTCTTATTCTAACATTAGATTGTCTATGGGGTTGTATGTCACCACGAAATGTATCTTTATGCATTAGACATCCGACAACATTCATTTTTCTCTTACTTAAACCCCTTCCACCCACCTCTCCTAAAATTCTCTCTGTTAAGGTTTGATCTCCCTCCTCCTCATATTTACACTCTCTCTAAATTCTGTTTTTATTTCCGGAGTTGGGTTTTTTCTGTTTTCTTTTTGAATTTGTAGGTCTGATGAATTGGATCGTATTTACGATTCCAATGGAATAAATTATGACCATGGAATATTAGTGTTTAAGCCTTTTTATTATATCTTTACTCTGTCCTGGACATTGAGTTCTACCTGGCTGGATTCTTCCTCTTGGAATTTTTATTTTAAAAAAATATACATATATGGGTATTTATATATTTTGCATATGTATGTATATTTACCACTAATATTCTCTCTCTCTCTCTCTCTCTCTCTCTCTATATATATATATATATATATATATATATATATATATATATATATGAATAACGTCATATATTATGAAATGGACTAAGTCCTTCAATTATTTATTATATTTATTGCTTATACGTTATTTTTATAGCTTCGAATATTTAAGTAAATGATCTGTTTATAATAACCAGTATTAAAAATATTTACCGGCCTGAATGTCTGAGAAATTTGATAGAAAATATATGTCCTCCGACAGGAATCGAACCTGTATCCTATACGGAACCGTCATATAGCTCGGCATGCTATACCATTTAGCTACAGAGGAATAGTCATTATCGTAAACAGAGCATGTACTTAAATATTTGTATCTATAAAAATAACGTATAAAGAATAAATATATTAAAATGATTGTCGGACTTAGTCCATTTCATAATATATGACATCATTTGTTTACGTTAAGATTCGATTCGAGCAGATATGAGCGTTCGAGAGAAATCATTGGAAATTTGTAGTTTAAAAGCGGTAATTTGACCTTGCTAAGCAGGCCCTTTAGGCCACATTACGTTGAAACATCGCCTCTTATGCGTCGAGCCTGATCTAGTACTTAGGTAACGGCCTGGGAATACTAGATGTTGTAAGCTTGGATGGTCGTGTAGTCTAATAGATAACAGCTGGAGTCAGGAAATCTGAGAGCAGAATTTAAATTCCAGTCGGGTCCGTCACGCGCAAATACCCATGAGAAAAGTATGAATCCACTTCTTATCCCCCTAGCTATGGGTTAAATAGTAAGCCTTAGATCAGTAGATCGTTATTGTTTACAAAAAAAATTTACAATCTACAAAGAATTGATGGCTTTAAATAAAATATAAGATGTAAAAAAAATAAATCACGAAATTTATGTGCTCTAGAACTGGCGTCTTGCGCTATTTCGATTGATAAGAAATTGCAAAGTTTAATTAGGAGTATGTGATATACCGACGGCTTCGTAGACATATCCTGATTTCTTTTCTTTTTCTGTTTTCAAATAGTAACAATGCTTCGTAGGGAAATGATCCCAAACCAGTACTTTATTATGATGATATTTGGATGCTTCTTGCCGAGGCGAAATCAAAGCAGTTATTCTTTACCATAGTTCTATAGATTTGTGATAGAACTATTTTGAATAATACAGAGTTTCCTACAAAGACAACTGCACCAGAAAGATGTGATTTCAACTTCAGACCTCCAGCATCAGACCATTGGCCAAGGTGTATTGAAATGCAACAAAAGTGTTGGCTCATATTTCAGGCGATATTTCTTGTCAGGAACAAAGCGGTCTTTTCAGGTTCTTTTAGAAAAGCAGTTATTGTAAAGAACACCTGTCTCTGCTACGTTCGGTTCTGTGAAAGAATGCATGTGTTAAAACCATAAATCTTGGGAAAGATAGAATTCGATAATATGCAGCCATCCGTTTTCCAAGAAAATTTTTGTTTCAAAACTATAGAGAAGAAAAGTACTGTCTGGAAAACAGTCACTTCTGTTGGAAAGTCTTTCGAATGAAATAAAAAAAAAATGCGATCAGATTTCAAAAGAGATTTCCTTTTGTTTGAATTTGATCTTGCCTCGCTCTTTCAAGTTTTAGCTTTTCTATTTTTTCAGTGGCAGGATCTATCTATCTATCTATCTATCTATCTATCTATCTATCTATCTATCTATCTATCTCATTCGACATCTATCTATCTCATTCTGTTCATATCTATCTATCTATCTATCTATCTATCTATCTATCTATCTCATTTGACATATCTATCTATCTATCTATTTATCTATCTATTTATCTCATTCTGTTCATATCTATCTATCTATCTATCTATCTATCTAGCTAGCTAGCTAGCTAGCTAGCTCATTCGACATATCTATCTATCTATCTATATATATATATATATATCTCATTCGACATATCTATCTATCTATCTATCTCATTCGACTCATATATATCTCATCTACTCATATCTATGTAATTCGACTGAAATCTATCTGTGTAATTCGACTAATATATATCTATCTATCTATCTATCTATCTATCTATCTATCTATCTATCTCATTCGACATATCTATCTATCTATCTATCTATCTATCTCATTCGACTCATATCTATCTCATTCGACTCATATCTATGTAATTCGACTGAAATCTATCTATTATCTCATATCTATCTATCTATTTATCTATCTATCTATCTCATTTGACTCATATCTATCTATCTATCTATCTATCTATCTATCTATCTATTTATCTATCTATCTCATTCTGTTCGTATCTATCTATCTATCTATCTATCTAGCTCATTCGACATATCTATCTATCTATCTATCTATCTATCTATCTATCTATCTATCTATCTCATTCGTCATATCTATCTATCTATCTATCTCATTCGACTCATATCTATCTCATCTACCCATATCTATGTAATTCGACTGAAATCTATCTGTGTAATTCGACTCATATCTATCTATCTATCTATCTATCTATCTATCTATCTATCTCATTTGACTCATATCTATTTCTCATATCTATCTATCTATCTATCTATCTATCTATCTATCTATCTATCTCATTCGACATCTATCTATCTCATTCTGTTCATATCTATCTATCTATCTATCTCATTTGACATATCTATCTATCTATCTATCTATCTATCTATCTATCTATCTATCTATCTATCTATCTCATTCTGTTCATATCTATCTATCTATCTATCTATCTATCTATCTAGCTCATTCGACATATCTATCTATCTATCTATCTATCTCATTCGACTCATATATATCTCATCTACTCATATCTATGTAATTCGACTGAAATCTATCTGTGTAATTCGACTCATATCTATCTATCTATCTATCTATCTCATTCGACATATCTATCTATCTATCTATCTATCTATCTCATTCGACTCATATCTATCTCATTCGACTCATATCTATGTAATTCGACTGAAATCTATCTATTATCTCATATCTATCTATCTATTTATCTATCTATCTATCTCATTTGACTCATATCTATCTATCTATCTATCTATCTATCTATCTATCTATCTATCTATCTCATTCTGTTCGTATCTATCTATCTATCTATCTATCTATCTATCTATCTATCTATCTATCTAGCTCATTCGACATATCTATCTATCTCATTCGTCATATCTATCTATCTATCTATCTATCTATCTATCTATCTATCTATCTATCTCATTCGACTCATATCTATCTCATCTACTCATATCTATGTAATTCGACTGAAATCTGTGTAATTCTACTCATATCTATCTATCTATCTATCTATCTATCTATCTATCTCATTTGACTCATATCTATCTATCTATCTATCTATCTATCTATCTATCTATCTATGTGTAAGAGATGTGAAATATATTTTAAAATGTTGTTTCGATTTTATATCACAAAACGAAATCTGTTCTACTTTTTTATCGTATGCACAAATCTATTGTACAAAATGTGTTTGACTCCCTTTAAATATCATTGTATTTTTTATTAAATAATTTGATATTAAACACAAATAAAACTAATTTAGCAAAACAGGAAACATTACAATTTTTCCCAGAAGGAGAAATTAAGTTAAGTCTGATGCAGCTATGACCAAAATGATTTTTATATTATTTCCAATGATCGTCTAGTCGCCATCCATCTGTATTAGTAGAGCTTAGAACCTACTGTGAATGCTAGCTAATCCCTGTTGCTGAAGCCTGCTCAGGCACATTTCTATTTGGTTTAGAATGTACCTATGCTGAGCTGAATTTAGTTATAGATTATCTGTCATGATCAAATGTCTCGCACACTCGGTCACTGTGACTTCGTGCTAACAATATCCTCGACGAATTTTCATCTAAATATGTTCACTGCCAAGGTTTGCATTAGACCATAGTGTGCATTTCCGGCTCTTTCAAACGGAAGTGCAAACTGGGTACGTCTTCTTCCGGCCGATATTTTGAAACTTCTTTTCTAATCGATAATAGTAAATTCAAAACCGGGTCTTTGAGTGTCTGCTGTGAATTGCTTGTCTATTAGTGTCTATTCCAGCGTCTTACTTCAGGAACAATGCATGAAGAAGGAAAATAAATTGTAACCCGCCTGGTGGCTGAGAGAGATTCGCATTTCCTCTTTGTCCTCATTGTCAGTGTTCGACTCCATAAAAAACTAGGATATTGAAACTAAGCAGTTTCAAAGTAAGTCTTGGAAGCTATACAATCTTACCATGTGTATTCTACAGTTACCTTGAATTAGACTAATCTGAGCTCAAGAGTTATTAAGAAGCTGGAGAATAGGCGTATCAATCGTAGTATTATTTCGCTTTGCCTATTTCTTTTAAATCAAGCTAAGCGTATTTTGCCATTAAGCTAAAAGAAATACGATTTTTAAAAGAAAGAATGTCGGTTCGATTGATTTCGGCAGTACATTTTCTTTATTAAAACGTTCGATCCGGTAGACATTAATAACTTCATTGTTTAAAAAAAAGAATAAAAATCAGAGATGTATACTTGAACTTATGTACCCACTAACTATAACACTCGTAGTAATAAAAAAATAATGCCCAATTAAAAAGAAACTGTTGATTACTTCATCTCTACCACCAAATATCACGTAACACCAAATCACTCACTACTAACACCGTCCCTACCCCTCATCCTACAACCATTTTCCCCTCTGTGTTTACCATCTAATTCCCTTCGACCCATCACCAATCACAATTATTAGATCTAAGGTTATTATCACAAAAAGTTTCGCACAACGAGAAATCAAACTTGAAACGGATTTTTACTAACAATTCCATCTACAAGCAGTACTCTACCCAGCCTCAAGAACTAATGTTGGATAATTTTCATCGTCCCTCTGTTTATTTCTCGCATCCGCTGATGAGGAACACAGGCGAACTTGGAACATCAATCTCCGTGCTTCATTTTTGTCACGTGGTTAATATTAATAAATGTTTTTGTACTGATTTATTCGGTACCATTTCGTTTGACTGTTTTATTGACCAACTTATCTGCGCTATTTTATAAACTACATGAAGCACACGTGAACTCTTTTTTCTTAATTATATATATATATATATATAAAAGAGAGAGAGAGAGAGAGAGAGAGAGGATTAATGTGAGAAACATTTGTCACAGCTTATTGATATTACCTTCAGCATCCTGATTCCAGAGTTTGGTAGACAGACCTGTTCGTATACTCTTCTTATATATATATATATATATATATATATATATATATATATATATATATATATATATATATATATATATGAATACAGACAAAAGGAAAATTTATTTTACCCGACGTATTTCTTCCTCTGAGAAACAAGGCAATATATATATATATATATAAGTGGACGCTGAGAACAACACCGAGTGGCGACAGCCTGTTCCATGCTTGAATGCAGTCCTCAGGACAGTGAGACAAATTTCTGTTTCCGCTGAAAGCAACTAACCAACTACTTTATTTTAAGTTGAGTAAAAACAAAAGTCACATTACGAACAATGTTGAAAGTTGTGTCTGTATATCAGACATTGTAACTTGGATAGCAATCAGATTTGTATAAAAGGCCTAATCTGTAATAATCCAACCATAGACAGCGACTTTGAAGAACTCAGATGTGGGAATTGAATAGTTTTATGATTATATCCTTAGTTCGACAGACTGGGAGTAAACTGATTACTCCTTTTTGGTGAATCGCCTCAACGTAAAATTACAAACACCAGAGCAAATTTAATATTGGAAAATTAGGACAAAGGAAGGAGAATGCGAAAGTCGAAATGCTAGTCAAAATGAAGAGCTATTTTTTTTTTCAAAAGCGAATAGTTCGTAAATAGACGTTTGGAAAAGCCTAAACAAAGAAATAGCAATAAAACTAATTTCATAATTGCCGGAAAAACCGTAAAATTTATAAACAACATAAATATTAATAACAGAATCGATCTTTATTCAAAACCAGAGAAATGAACGTCTGGCGAACAACCGAGTCTCGTAAAAAAAAAAAGACTTTTAGCTTAAATAGAAGCAGTAACAGAGTTGCATGGTTAAGGCCTTGTCTTCCACATGGAATTCTGTCCGGGATATGACAATAAACTACATCCGAGGTGGAACCAACTCTTAATTGCTGGCGTTCCCAGGTTCACCCTCACCCGAGGTGGCAGCGTCTGTCTGTGCAAATAGTTAACCCCTAAACTGGGGTCAAAACGCTATAAAAATGAAAAAATAGGTTTTAATACCAGAAGTACTTTGTAAAAAATAATTACCAGCAATAAATTTTTGAAGAAAAAAATATTACCAGGAATACATTTTTGAAGAAAATAATATTACCAGCAATACATTTTTGAAGAAAAAAAAAATTGCCTGCAATACATTTTGGAAGGAAAAAAAATATTACCAGCAATACATTTTGGAAGGAAAAAAAATATTACCAGCAATACATTATTAAAGAAAAATAATATTACCAGCAATACATTTTTGGAAAAAATTATTACCAGCAATAAAAATCTTGTTGGCATTAAATAACCCATTAAGGCTGGTATGACGTAAAACAAACCAAACCAAACTAAACGAAACCAAACCAAACAAAACTAAACCAAACCAAACCAAACCAAACCAAACCAAACCAAACCAAACCAATTCAGGTGGAATCTCCCCGAACAAATAATAATCACAAAGAGTACCTTTATTTTTATTTATTTTTTACTTTTTAAAAAAAATATTTTCACTATTTAAAGAAAAAAACAGAAAACAAAAACATACTGTCAACACAAACTCGTGTACCAACTTTTGTTTTCTCGAAGCAAAGCAGTGAAGCCATTAGGCGGAATTGGTTATTGGGTGTGGAAGAATTAGAAACAAAAACATCTACAATCAGGACGACTGTAGATAGCGATGGACATTGCATTTTACTTTAGTAGATTAAAGTTGGTTGGAAAGCATGGAGCCGGAAGGGAGTTCCACAAGCGAGAAGTGCGAGAATAGAAACTGTTAGCATAGAACTTACGGTTATATCTAACCAGACCATCTGTAAATTCATGAAATCTTGATGCCAGCCCCGTACTGCGCTTAAATTCAAAAAGTTTAGGCAAAATAGCGAAAAGATCATCCGAACATTACCGTGAAAGTATTAACAGAAAAGCCATAAGGAGGCAACCTTGCGGCGGTGGGAAAAGAGACTGGAGCCGAGACGTCAGATCAGGGCCAGTAATATTGCTGAATCTTCATTGGATTTTACCAAGAATCTCTAAATATACAGGAGGAGCATCGGACTAGAGGTGGAAGCAATATTCGAGACATGGACGAATGGTAAACTTCTAAATATGTAAAATAGATTCTGGAGAGAAAAATTGTCTCACCCGACATAGTGAACCAACTTTCTTAGCAGTTGATCTAGCAATAGATTCACTATAG